AAATTAATTTAATTGACTACAAGGCTACAAAGATTATAATCAATTAAAATTACTAATAAAAAATAGAATAAAAATATATTAAATTCTATTTAAATGGATATTTTAATATAAATAATAAGATTTAAATCTCTCCCCACCCTTAACATCCTGTGGCTGTATCACTAGGGTTGTCAAAATGACTTATTGTTCATTAATAGCTCGTGTTCGACTCGATAAGCAAACGAGTCAAACACAAATAAATTTTTTGACCTCAATATATAAACGAGTCGAACAAGAACAATGCCATCTTTTAACGAGCAGAGCATAAGCCGACCTTGGGTTCGTTCAAGCTTGGCTCGTTTGCACCCTATCGACTGTGTGACTAGGGTTGTCAAAACGACACTTTGTTCACGAACAACTCGTGTTCGGCTCACCAAACAACCGCATTGAACAATAACAAATTTGTTGTGCTCGAAATAAAAATAAGTCAGACATGAACAGTGGTATTTTTGGACGAGCCGAACATGAGCTAAGTTTGGGCTCGCTGATTTTTTGGCTCGTTTACACCCCTACTCCAGAATACATCCTATTTATAATGTACCGATAGGCACTTATGCTGCATCTCAGTTTTCACCTTGGACCGAATTGCGATTTTGCCTTTTTCCGCTAGTTGGCATAGACATTTCAAATTTTTTCACCATAGACATGCACTCTTCATTAACTTGATAGCGATTAATTTTATCCTTCTATCAAGTGGGGACATTCTCGTATTCAAAGACCCGTTTCACTTTTTGGAGCCGTCCATATCTATATGACAATCAAAGCCCGACAAAATTCACCTTTATTTAAAAATCGCATTCTCTCCTATATTCAACGTCAAATCAACACGATATAAACTCTTTATCACTTGAAGTTTCGTGGTTGAAAGGGTTTTCTTCATCACATTCATCTGGGCGGTCACTGTTGTTGTTGTTGGTGACTTCCCCATGCCACCTTATTTCAAAATCAGCGAGCCTTCGCTGCAATTGGAGGATTTCCCGCTGCATGCCCTCCATAGTAGTTTCTTAGCACCTCGTTGAGGATTTTGCCTTGGCGGCATAGCGTTTCGATCTTCATACAAAGATTTGGCCGTCTATGATACCGAATGATACCATTCTAGGGCTTCTAGAATGTATGAGGGAACACAAAAGGTGTTAGAGAAGCTGTAGGATTGCTTATGTGAGTGGGTAGAATGGATGCTGGCTAAGAATTGGTGTGAATGACAGCGGAATGGCGAATCAAAAATAGAAACGGTGGTTCCTGCTGCAAACAAAAAGGGGTAGCTGCATCGATAGCTGTCTGACTAAAAATAACAGACAAATGATGAATCAACAAGGTTAAGGACGGTAAGGAGGATCCATTACCTGTTCCTTTGCAAGCTACCGACCAACCTTTTGTGAAAGGAGAGGCTACAACACTCCAGAGAGCATAAAGAGACCAGTCTCTCACAATTCATAAAATAAAAAAAACTAAAAAATCCAAATAGCCTAATACACATATATAAAAGTCTTCTAATAAGAAATAGCCTTAAGTAGAAAATAGGAAAGAATTAGAAAGGAAAGAAGTTGAGGAAGTAAACTAGCTGAAAGGAAAGAAAATTAAAAAGAAGCAGAAGTGCTAGCGCTGGACTCCTGCGATTGCGGGAGCCGATACCATGGTTTCATGGTATCACGGGAAAACCTGCGTCCCATGTCATTATTAGTTTTTGTGGACAAGAAATAATATAAAAATAAAAAAATCAGAAATCTTGATAATCAGTGTGTTTTTATGACTCATTCAACGCCGCGTAAAAGAGTACAAGAAAATGCACCAAGGTGCCAACAAAGATGGCTCCTTCAATTAAATAGAGGACCAGGCAAAAGTTGCAAAGTCTCTATAAGTCAAATTTATCTATGCTAGAAAAGCAGAACAGTAGCTTCCAATCATCCTGCGCAAAACATATGTTCTTTTTTTTTTCTCTCAATACCACTTGACCCTATTATCAAACAAAGTTTATATCTTTCTGATATGAAAGCCCCTAGAACTATAATAATATGGTCTTGAACACTAATCAATGTTGTTAAAAGTGATCTGGACAATCACTCAGGCATTCAGGAAAACCTATGGCCTCAAACATCTCCTAATGATGCGCCATCACTAAGGAATGAATGTATGGGTAAGTGGTGCGACAAGTTTGTCATAATATGATTGAGGTGAACATATTTCAAATGTTAAAGATGAGCTAAATTTTTATGATAATATTTGAATATTTGAATCTTATTTTAACAATGTTCATTAGATAAAGCCCTCATGCGGACGCACTAAATTAGCCTAAATAATATATGATATGACTTATTTCATGTTTGTGCCATTGAGTTAAATTACATGTGATTCAATTCCTGTTCATTACTTTGAGCAAAAAAGTAATTCAATGATCATGATTATTTTTGAGAAGAAAGGCCAAGTTCTATAATTTCTTTACAGTTTAAATATGATAAATGACAAGTGCATTGCTTCATTTTCTTTTGAGATAATATAGGCTAGGATTGTGATATACCCATTAAGTTAATTTTATAAATCATCACAAATTTTTGTTGGTATTTTTTTAGGGAAACTGGACTTGATGGGATCATTGAAAACTGAAAACACAAAGAAAGAGAATATGTAAATACAATTCTACATTATTAATTGTACTTTGGATCTAGAAGCTATTAGGACTATGTTTTTGAAATAACACTTTCTATAATGTATGTATGTAATCGTAGTATTGTTCATTTCACCGCCATTTGATAGTAATGGTAGACCAGAGAGTTGCCAGGACAACCAATCATCACAATCACTCATTCCTACCATGGTTTACTCTAATCTTCCTTGAAGGTTTACTCTTAAGCTTCTGGGTTGAGGGTGATAGATTGTAGCACTAGCTCCTTTCTTGAAATATGATGATGGTGCAACAAAATATATTATCGTCAAGGAATTCCTACATAACAAAGACCATAAGTAAATTAAAACTAATTAAGAGATTATCCAAATTATATTGCCTTAACCCTAAGAGCTGTTTTTGAGGGTTGAATTATATTAAAAGCTGTTTTTGAGGCTCACTTCATGACCTCCGAATCAATGACGCCAAGCTATCTACTACTCCAGGCCCAATCCTAAGTGGCGTATACTGAATAATAAAGCATGGATCAAAATGTATCTTTAAAATAGTTGAACAATTAACACGTGGCCTGATCTAATTTAACATGCATCACTGTATCAACCCCATACAACCTGGGGATCGGATGCTTTGTAATTAAGAGCTCGGTAAAAGTAGCTTTAAGCAGCCAAAGAATAAAGGGTCCGTCACCCTTAAAAACCCTCAAATCAGAACAATTAACAAATTTCTAATGTCGCAGTCATGTATTTACCAACTTTCAAGTCATAGATTACATTTTGTCGGATAAATATCTAACAGATTATGTAAGAAAAAAACTATATAGTTAATGTTTATGCTTTGGAATGTGCATTCAAAAGAATAAAAGTTAAGGGACTGTTGATACCTTTTTTTTATTATTTTTTGTTTTTGTTTTCGAAAAACAAAAAATAAAATGAAAAACATGTTTTTTTTTTGTTTCTTTTTAATTTGTTTATTTTGTTTTGTTTTATTTATAACAGATTCGTTTTTATTGTTAAAACACTAAAACAAGTAAACACTGTTTTGAGTGTTCTTAAAACAACAACCACAAACCCCGATTCAGGCCACTAGCCTTCCTATGCCTAACCCCACTTTATCACATTTCTATCCTCCCCCTTTCAAACAACACTGCTGTCGTTGCCTTCTTCTGCACTGATGTCGATGTCCATGCCTTCTTCAATGCCGACTCCTCCAACAGTGACTAAGAGCAGGTCTTTGTTCACTGATGGTGCGCCGTTACTTAAAGTAATTACATTAGCTCTCCCGAGAAGCTTTTGAAGTTCTTCCTTCTGCACGATATCGTGATATGTAGCAGCTTCGACGGTGCAGATCTCATGGAACCGCTTAGAGAGGAAAATAGACTCTGTAAAACAAAGACTTACAACGGCATGGCCCACAAGTCCGATGGCGTGCTTCTCATCCCAAGCGAGAGAGGGATCCAGATGTGAATATGTCATGCTTGAACCTCTTTGCACCCCTCCCTCTATATTTTTCTTTCACTTTTCTGGTTTAAGATAATATGAGATTTGATGCTACTTATTGAAAATTTTAAATTTTGATTGGTATATGAAGATAAAAATTGTATTAGCTTTAATTTTGGGAAATTTGATTTTGGTGCCTGGTGAAAAAAACAAATAGAAAATATTTATGAATCAAAATATTTTCACTTTTGACTGTGAACTGCTGCTTTAAATTCGTTTTGATTAATTTGGATTTAAAAACTATTTAAACAATGTTGGAACAAATTTCAATCAAAGTTGAGATTATATGCAAAATAAATAAAAGTAAAAATGAAATTATATGGATGAAACTTGAAGACTTGTTGTTAATCACTTGATTTCCTGAAGTCATTGTTATTGAATCATACTGTATACATATATGAGCTACTTTTCATTATAACTTCTTCGAAGTAACGGTCATTGGTCTAAGCAAGTATATGGATAAAGAAGTAAACACATTACAATCATGTAATATTTACAGGAAAACTATAGCAACATTAGATCAAGAATTATTGATTTTATCATTTGTCACATTAGTGGTTCGACGCAAGTAATGTTTTTTATTTTTCCAAACATTTTTTTTTATTTAAAAAACATTAAAATCATAAGAGTACCAATCATGTTTTTATTTTATGTTCAAACAGAACAAAACAAAAACAAAGTAAAATATAAATAAAAACAAAAAATAAAAAACAGAAAGTGATCCCAAATGCCCCCTAAGTTATCAACATGTTTCTTTTAAAGTGATTAGAATAAGAAGGGCGAAAGAATAGAATAAATAACAAACAACAAGACAATCCCAATTCAAAAAGTTCAAGAAGGAAAACCTGGACACAACCCATGACAAGAGCACCACCACCAAAGTATTCATTGGCAAAATCAACTTCAAGGGCTTCATGTTGCTGGTCTTCTATAAAGCCTGAGGAAAATGCCTATGAGCAAAAGTTGCGTTTTAAGTCAACTGTTACAAGACACCAAATAAAATCAAACACAAAGTGCAGCATGAAATGGGGAAATAACTATATGGAATTCAATAATATCATAAAACATATCAGCGTGAAAACAATTATATGAGAACTGACGAATAAAATGTTCAGTTGGCATTGAAAGATAAGGAAGCAAGAAAGATGGGAGCTTGTAAATGACCATCCCAAGAAGATTAACAATCTAAGAAAGCCAAAAAGTTCCTCTTAAGAAAAATCACGAAAATATTTAGAAAGCACATATTCACGATGTCATGAAAATTTGGCGAAAGATAACTGCTCCATTTCTGTGACACAAACTTCAAATTTCACCTCAAATGAACACAAAGGTACTGTAGATTTCTTCCAAAAGGCTGCCTCTGGATAGGAAACAACATTGCCACTCTGCCTGAGAGTAAGAAGTTTCCGTTCAAAAGAGACAAAACCTTCCGGCATACTTAGACATGTCCTCTCAAAATAGTGAATAAGACACTTGATTTTGTGCTCCTGACTTTGGCTGCAATGAGGATGAATACATCTGGAAAACAACAAAACAAATGCCAGCATGAACATTAGCTATCATGCGAGAGGCAGGCACAAATCAAAAGATTAAACGATCTTCTTGTCATAAAAGAATGATTTTAAAATTGTACGCAGAATGGCCCTGATAAATGAAAGTAAGGACGTGTATCTCTCCAATTCTAATGCACCAACATAATTGCATTACAAGCTATTAATCATAAGTGGGATTGCGATCTAAGAGAGCTCAAACGCTATCAGATAAAAAATTTATGAAGGTTCAGTCAAGCACTTTCAGAATACTGACTAACCAGTACTTGCGATGTTCCCAAAAAAACCAAACTCCACATTCCTTCCATAGCTCCTTTTATGTGTCAGCGCAATGGACATATGTGAGCAACAACACAAATTAATTGAGCAAGCCAAGATTTTTCATGTCGGTTCAAAAAATGAGTTTAAAGGTTGCGTGAAACCATGTCAACATTTAAGTGGATCATACATTTTTTCCCTTAATACAATCTAGAAAGTAGAATGCCACAAATGCATGTGATGAGAAGCTCAATTTCTACAATTAGTCAAAGAGATAGAACCGCACAATGTGTTTGAATTATTCCATTTTAATTTTAAAAGTAGTTGATTGAAGTAATGATGAAGTCTACATTCAAAATTTCCTATGTCTTAGCCTTTTGAATTGATCATAATTATGATTTCTTACGGTGATCATGCAAATCCTTTCTCTGCTCAAAAGAAAATTCCGACTTCCTACTATAAAAAATATCATACAGCGCAATCTGGAGTGGCATTCTCTCGATCCAGTAAAAAACAAAAATTTTTATGCTTCTAATGTATGTTACGTGTTCGGATTTGAAATAGAATAGCATATTATTATTCATAAAAAGAGGGATATTTAAACCTAATTACAATAGACACAATAAAGAAAAAAATAAAATAAAATAAAACAAATAAGAAATACATAATGAGGGAATAAAAGCCAAATAATAAATAATAACGACTAGGGATTGCCATTATAAATCTAATACTCCCCCTCAAGTTGAAACATAGATGTCGGTAATATTCAATTTAGATTTGAAGTCATCGAACAAAAGATGAGAAATATTCTTGGCAAGAATATCTGTCAGTTGACCATTGGAGGATACAAAAGAAACATAAATTTTCCCGGACTCTATCTTTTCTTTAATGAAGTGTCTGTCAATCTCTACATGTTTGGTACGATGATACTGAACCAGATTATGAGCAATGCTGATGAAGGTCTTATTATCACAGAATGGTTGCAGCGGGACAGAGGTTGACATACGAACTTCATGAAGCATGATGCGTAACCAGAGAGCTTCATAGATTCCCAAGGATATGGGCCAAAATTCAGCTTCAGCACTGCTCCAGGCAACTGCATTTTATTTTTTGCTTTTCCTTTTGACAAAATTTCCCCATACAAATGAGCAATACCCGGATGTGAAACGTCGATTATGAACAAGCCCAACCCCATCAGCATCTGTATAAACAACAATAAACCAAGAGGTGTGACAATAAAAAAACAAACCTAAGTCCAATGTACCTTTTTAAATAGTGGAGAATCCAGTGGATAGCTTGGAGATGATGCTCAAAGGGGTCAGCATGAATTGACTCACCATACCAATTGCGTGGCATGTGTCAGACGGAATATAGGCCAGATAGATGAGTTTCCCCACAAGGCACTGATAATGAACTTATTGACAGACAAAATATTGAGGATGTCAGATAATTTTTCATTTGGATCCATAGAAAAATCCACTAGTTTACACAGAAGAAGGTTATTATCTGTTTAGAGATCAATCACATATTTGCCCTTAGACAGGCAAATGACCCGAGATGACCGAGTCACTTCCAAACATAGAAGTACCTAAGAGATCCCAAGTCCTTAATTTCAAATAACTTAACAAGAATTTCTTTCAAGGACTTCAATGCTGAAAGATCGTTACTTGTAAGAATAATATTGTCAACATAAACAATAATGATAGCTACCAGACCTTTGAAGAAATGAGAAGCCGTGTGATCCGACTGAGCCTAAGTAAAATCATGACCCCAACCACCTTTGTGAACTTATCAAACTAGGCCCTTGGGGGCTGCTTTAGCACATAGAGGGACATTCGCAACCTGCATACTTGCTCTCTTGAGGCAGTAGAGTCAAAGCCAGAAGGGATAGACATGTACACCTCTTCTGTAAGCTCTCTATTAAAGAACACATTTTTTACATCTAATTGGAATAAAGGTCAATCAAGATTCACCGCAAGGGACAACAAAACCTGAATACTATTTAACTAAGCCATTGGAGCAAATGTCTCCTCATAGTCAACTTCGTAGATCTGTAAGTAGCCTTTGACGACCAATCATGCCTTATTGCTTTCAAATGATCCATCAGAGTTGAACTTGGTGTTGAAAATCCATCGGCATCTCAAAACTTTCTTACATTGGGTCCCACGTATGGTTCCGCCGAAGAACATTCATCTCCTCCATTACTGTCGTTTTCCAGGCTATATAACCAAGAGGAACCTCAATAGTAGCTGGGATCTGATGGCCCATCAGAGCAATAGCAAATGTTCTGTAGGTTAGCAATAAATTGTGAAAGGAGACATATTTTGTCATAGAATAAAGAGAGCATCTCTAATTGCGTACCATACTCGAGAACTCACCTCCTCAATCGGAGCAGAGGTCTTGCTAAGGATGTCGCCCGGAGTGGAGTCAAGGTCCTGTAAGGAGGTAGCAGACTCCAGAGTAGGAGCATTGTAACAGGTGTGTCGAGTGTAGACATAGACAATGGGAGGAGGAGATGGTGCACTCAACGGATTAAGGGACTCCTCAGTGGCAGCAACAATGAGGAGAACATCTATAGGAGTAGATTAAAGGTCAATGTCAATGAATTCAAGTTCTCCCTCACTTGAGGCCGAGCTAAGAAAATAGGGAACACTTTCAAAGAATGAGGCTTCAGCACTCATATACCTTTTGTTAGTGGTAGGATCAATAAACCGATACCCTTTTTGAGCCGCGAAGTACCCTAGAAATATACATTTTATGGATCTGGAATCAAGTTTACTCCGAGTGGGGTCAGTGTTCTAAACAAAGGTCGTGCACCCAAAAAACTTATGATCTAATGTGGAGAAAACCTAATTGGTAGGAAAGCATGACATTAGGATAGCTAAAGGGGGAAACTTGTAAATTTTAGAAATGACTCTATTTATGAGATATGTGGCAGTCAGAATGGCTGTACCAAAATTGTTTCAGGAAATTGGATTGAAACATAATGGAGCGAGGGATGTCGAGGAAGTGATAGTTTTTTCTCTCGGTCCCCATTTTGTTAAGGAGTGTTCTTACACGAACTATGGTGGAAGATACCCTTACTCACCAAAAATTCACCCAAAATAGAGTTGCAAAATTTGCGACCATTATCGTTTCGAAAAACTTGAATTGGAGTTTTGAATTGAGTTAAAACTAAAGTATAGAAGCTCTAAAAGATGACAACAACCTCTGAATTGTCTTCAAAATGTAGACTCATATCATCCGAGTGTGGTCATCAATCAAAGTTAGAAGCTATCGTTTGTTGGTGTAGTTGGAAGTGAAACTGGGTCATCATATGTCACTGTGAATGTGAGATAAATGAGTTAAATATGGGTTAAATTAAAAAAAAAATATTAGAAAACATTAAAGGATACAAATTTTTTCATATTGAAAATTGAGATGACCCAAACGACAATGCAATAACATAATGGGGCATTCAATGCATAAGATAAACTACAACTCCTAAGTGGTGTGTCCTTACTCTCTGTAATCTTCTCTTGGAAGTAGTAGAGTTCAACCATCCTCTTAGCAATTTCAATCTTTCTCCCCAAACAACGATCCTGAAGAACACAACCATCATAAGAGAAATTAGTAACGCAATTTATATCATTCGTCAACTTGCTGGTAGATAACAAGTTATATTACAACAAAGGAACATAAAAAACAGACTCCAGAGTTAGACCGGTCATTAGTACAGCCGACCTTTTACCAGTAATAAAACTACACGAGTCATCGTCAATTCTGACAATATCTTTCTCATAGCACAGATAGTAAGTTGAGAAAGCTTGCAAGCATCCAGTCATGTGATCCTTGACACCAGAATCAATAATTCATGGGCTAGAGGAGGAAAAAATCATGAGTGACTCCAAGTAGCTTGATCAATTGCTCCATTTGATTTTTTAGGTATTCGGAGGATTCCAGAATATTTTAGGTAAGAGTCGTTTGAACCATCGTAGAATCGGACATCACCGTGAGACCCTTGGTAGTAGAGGATTTGGCCAAAGGTTTGTATGACGGTTTACTGTGAAATTTTCAACACTTATGCCAAGTATGGTTAGGTTTGTTACAGTAAACACAAATGGTGTGACTGGTCTAAGCTGGCATGGACGAGGGCTGACCACTATTCGAGATCAAGATGGACGATTCGACTGAAGGAGTAGAAGTGTCGAGCATGACATGTCTCCCGCTCTCTTCCCGAAATTTGGTGCAAGCAATGCGGGAAGAAGAAAGAGGGTCCCGACCAAGAATACGACTCCGAACTTAGTCAATATTTTTGTTAAGGTCAGCCAGAAATTGAAACATATGACCTTTTTTTATAATCTTTTAGAAGAGAGAAATGTCGATCGTAGAATATCAAGTGTAGTTTTAGTATATTTTGTATTCCATCCATAGTGCAACAAGGTCATTATAGTGCTAGGTCAAGAAACTTGACCCCTGTTTTGCCTCCAGATTTCCCTAGACATCTCAAAACATTGGTCGAAGTTTCCTACATCCGACTAGGTATCACAGACTGTCGTTCAGAGAGCACTAGCTGAAGAGAAGAACATTTATGAACGACCAATCGAAGTTTTCATGGAGTTCTCCACTTTCCAAACTCCATATGATGGGTCGGTCTTTGGAGGCTCACAAATCATACCTATAAGATACCAGAATTTCCCGCGATCTTTAATAAACAAAGACCTCAGTTGG